TTTGCGAATCGAGTGACTCGGGAGCGGCCGCAGTCGCGTCGCGGCCAGTCGCTTGATCGGCTGGTACCGCATCGGGAGCGGTAGCGAATCGCTCCATTCGCAAAGGTTAACATCGGCCTAAGGAAAGGTCTGCTACGTACCTGCCAGAGGTCGAAATGAAATCACAGTGAATGCCATAACTTATCTGAAGCTGCCCCATCACATTCTCACAGTGATGGCGAAGACCTGCATGATCCAAAGCCCTCTCGTACCTCTTCTGAGCCGGACTGCGCGCAAAACTGAGTCGAGCTGCCGGTAGCACATCAGCCCCGTTCTATTAAGGGTGGCTTCTTCATAAATCCGATTTCGTCTTCCGGAAGTTTTATTCAAACGTTACGAGCAACAACTGCTGCACTTCTTAATTCAATTTCAACTTAATGTTAAGTAAACTTCTAGAAATGTCAGACATGTCAGAACCACCAAGTCATCTTTAGAATACATCGAAAGAAACAAACCGAAGACATCAAGTATTTCAACACGACACTCTCAACACTTCAACTACAACAGGAATTCCAGCAAATATTGAAAGTTAACAGATATACTAATAATCATTAATTTATTGATAGGAGGTGATTATCTCCCTTAACACTGTTAGATTTAACAAATTATAATAGATCACAACGCCATATTTCTTCCTTCAAGAGACACGCCTATTGCCCGTTTAGCTTTCAGTTTTCTGGTTCTTTCCAAAAACTCACGATGTGCTTTATCGAGACGTGCAAACGCCTTCCCTTTGCGCTCTCCCTTAAAAAGAGTATGTGAATTTTAGGCTTTTCGGATCAGTACATAAGCCGGACACCTCACCTTAAACTCTCCTTCGACGTTCGATTTTGGTCGAACAACGTAATCCTTAGTGGAAGGACGAGGGACGCGAGCTCTGTTGATCTCCCTTTCAGGGAGTTTCGACACAGCGGGTTCTGAAGGACCTGCTTCACCGCTAAAATAGTGATTGGCTAATTTTAGCATGCGGAAAAAATGTGGCGAATGAACTAATCAAAAACTATGGTCCGAAAACACACCTCATTCTTCTCTTCTTGACACTCGACATATGTTCTAAGTCTCTCTGGACTCTCTCTTCTCGAGAAACAGAGCGAAAATCAGTTTCAAGCTTAATGCAATCATTTAGATAATAAAATATTAACTAGGAACAGGAAACTGAAGGAGCTGTATTTTAGCAATTCTCACCTGGAAGATCGGCCTCGACCACTCTCTTATTATCTGCGCTGCCATTGCCTTGTTCTCTTTGGTTTCTCGAGGATGCTTGTAAAGCAACATCACCGCCCTTCCCAGACCTGACTGCTTTAACTCCCTGAAATCAGGTGTCATGAAAGATTCAAGAACCACGACCTCGTGACTAAATGGGACTGGAAACAAATAAAATGCACTGTGTCCTGTTGAATAGCTGGATGAGGAAAGAAGTAAGTGAGCTTTAGGACCGTAAAGTGGTCGCAGGATGAACTCATAAGAATATTTTCCTTACTAACTTCGAATAGCCAAGTAGCCTTGAAGGAGTAAGTATACATTGAACAGTGCGGGCCGAATGATGAGGACAGCGGGAACGCGCGGACCTACCCACATTTATCGAGTCTCCATTTCCATCTTCTTTTCTGTGCACTATGTGATAGGTACAATGTCTTCTTCCTATTGAAACCAAATATCATGCAGTTCTCAAAATTAGTGAAACAACCACATCACGGTATGCCTAGCCTCAAATTTGACCCACTAGTGATTCTGGCACGCAACATCCAGCGACAGTTCAACGTACAAAGAGGTTCGCATGGGCAAAAGGTGAACGCTCCAATAAGTTCCGAGCCACCACAGATAGAAAAGGCAGAGATCCGCATCTAGCACCAGGACAATTATGCAATGCAGAAACTCGCTCTCTTCTTCGAGATCTTCCTACTCGCAAAAAGAAAAAATGATGTAAAAACCGATTGGGCGTTCCAGAAACTCTACCTCTGTCATGGAATGAAAGCCATTAAAATCAAGCCACTTTGGGATGATAAACAAGACACAACACTCACCAGTGTTTAGTCATACAGCAAAAATTCCATGAAAATGGATTTCTCAAGTTTGTAGCGGTCGAGGAATGGTTACCTAGGAACCACCTACTTAATTCCTCTAGACTTGCTGTATGGTACACTCAGGATGCAAGCGCAAGTGAAAACCCTAAAGAAGGTTATCCTACTGGAGATTGCAAGCAGAAAGTCTGGAACTATTTTGACACGCCTTAGTTCCATGCCACCGCACACGTCAGCCCTCTTCTCCTAGACATCCGTGTAAATGCATATGGTAGATCTCGATCCTGACCTAGTTTTTTGTGACATGAGCGACAAACATTTTTCTGGAATTGGTTGTTCCATCAAGCTACAGTGCATTTTTTTACGAAATAATGTCTTGATCCTCATAATTTTGCCCCACTCTGTATACCACTGGTTGGTTTCGGAGTCGCTATGGGGGAGAAAACATCAACCTGTCGAACTGACAATAATAATAAATAAATAAACCTGTGATTTAGAAAGATAGCGCTTACAAAAAACAAGGAGATTGCGCCTGAAAATTGTCTTATCGTTAAAGTATTACCTGGTCCAAATTGCCAAATCCTGACAGAATCTTCAGCAACTCTGTTCTTATTTCGAGAGCCGGCAGACTTTTATCTGGAAGTGGAGCCAACCATTCCGAGACCGCGCTCATCATTCCTCCATCGATCATGGCTTCAAGCATGTCCATCTGCAAGACATGTTACAAAAAGGTGATGATAAACTTTCACCTTGATTTTACGTAGTACAACATAAGAATTGTGGTAGAAAGTAGATGAATTGAATCTTAACATTCCACTAATCCTTGGAACCAAAATCTTTGAATCTTTGCACTGACAAATCGACAGGAAAACAAACTTGTAATGGAATGAAAGCAAAATTGCACGATTTGTGGTTGCAATAAACGTATTAAAGGCATTTCTCAGAAACTATAATCAATCCAATTTGCTATTACAAATCAAGTTTGAAGAAGTGCTGCAGCTTCGCTTTATTCCTGGTAGCATTTGCATCATTAATTTTTTAGGTTTAAAAATATATTCTATGATAGGAAATGCACGTTGAAAAAAATAAAAGTCATACTTACTTGGACCGACGTCATAGTCGGCGACGGATCAAATCGCTCCATCGCTTGGCCCGTCGCCGACTACGACGTCCGTCTATACCAGGAAGGTATTTGCGTTCAACCCTTCATTTTGAATGAGATGTATAGTGTATTATGCTGTCCGGTAGAGGAGCTCAAATTATGTGTCCTTATCTGCTGAACTCTTCTCTGAAAGGAATTATGAAGCAGAAAAGCGCAGGGGCTGTGGTCGAGGCTCACGAAAAAGAGGTCAGGGGATCAACTCCCTGGCGAGTTTGTTCTTTTGCCGTTTGCAGTAAGATAGCTAGGAAGACTCCTAACATTGCTAGTCCGATGCTTGCGTATAGTTAACAGTAAAAAGAATTTGAGGGCAATTAATAATGAACTTGGGCGGCACCGCTCCTCACCACTTTGGGCGCTTGTAGCGCAGGCGCCAGGCATTTTTGCTTCGAACAAGTATGATATTCGTAATCAGGGAGTCAGACTCTCCCTTTGAGCGAACTTCTAGCGAATTCTGAAATTTTGACCTAACCTCGAAAATTTGGGCAGTCACTTACTCACCGATCCACCAATCCATTACAAAAGGCTGGCACTTGGTAGAATAAATTTTTTAAAAACTTTTCATAATAGACGAAAATTGTGTCTGGCTTGCCCGTCCGCATCATCCAAAGATCTACAAACCATTATTTCCTAATACAACACCTTCTCTCCCCTTTCCCCCGTCGTCCATGATTGGTCAACCCAAAAAAGTGGAGTTTGAGGAGTGGTAATCCCATCACTGCCCGCTTTTTCTCAATTATTTCGTCGCCTCAGATTTGGCGAAAAAACTCGCTGTAAGGGGTAGTTTGATCCCCTGAATACGAATATCATACCTACTTGCCACGGAAAGCATAGCACCTGCACTACGGGCACCATAGGCTTTCACAGACAAGTAGTGCTTAAGTTTAAGAGGGTCAGCTTGCAAACTCTTCGTAGATGTAGCGTCGGGCGACCATTGGTAAAATAACAGATTCAAAAAGGCTTTTCAGCCATGTTGGAAAAAAAGCAAAACAACAAACCCCGTGAGGGACCGAACCCCCGACCCCCTCCGTGAGAAACACGACCGCTACCAACTGCGCTACCTAGGCTCACATCACCAGTGCTCGGTTCTCCTTTCGATACTTTTGTAGTGCGGCTAACATGTGATTGCAGGTAAAACACTGAAAATCAAGGGCGGCAACAAAAACCCTCCGTAACTCCTTTCAGAGAAGAGTTCAGCAGATAGTGAAAGCAGATTTGAGTTCAGCGTCTCATGCTGCGTACAGAAATGTGCACCTCATTTCATTTGGCCGGGTTGGCCTAATGACCCTTCCTGGTAAGAAACAAGGCAAGTGTTTTTGGATTCGCAGTTGTATTCAGAAACAAGGTTGACATTATACGAAGTTATACGATATGTGATTTACCTATTTAATACGACGGTTTACCCCTCTTGCTGAGAAATTCCCACCCTGCTGAGCGCGGAACATGCTTTCAAGTTTGTGTGGTGAGTACTGACGAGATCACATGAGAAAAGTTTCCATCACTTCACAACTACGAATCCTTGGGTCCCCTAGGGAGACTGGTCTTTGATATTCAAGGTAACCAACCCACATGTTAACCAGCTAAAGAGACGGCAATTAGGTACTTCGAAAGGTAAAAAAAAACTTAGAAAACCAGCTATAGCTCTCACCGCAATTTTGACTGCTAAGGGAACGGAAATCCTGGCTTGGTTATGAAAGTATAAACCATCACTATTTGCCAACAGTTCATTCATCAGTACTTACCCTAAGAAGCATCATTTTCACGTCGTGAAGCATTTTTCTTTTCTTGAGAGCCGGTTTTCGTTCCGTATTTGAATGACGGTCATCCTGAAAAAGGAGCATTCACGCTTGATACGTTAGGTGAAATCAGAATAAGTAGGTGTTTATCACCTTTGCGGCATTTTTCATTGCGTTGACCATATGTGCAATGATTCCATCATCGTCGTTGATAATGTCGATTCCTGCATCACGTCGCTTCCTCTTCTTCTTTCTCTCGGCCTTCTTCTCTCGCAACATCAAATCGAAATCCCATTCAAATCCACTGAACGCATTTCGTTCATTAAGAGGTCAAAAACAATAACTTCTAATTTTTGGACGAGAAATTGAAATTAGTGATTAATAGCACGACAGCAGCATCTATCAGTCCAAATGAGAAATATACCACAAAAAGCCTTTCCCCAACTGTACAATAAAAAGTAGGTCAAAAACGAGGACTTAATGATACAAAATTACTGTTATTTAACTGATAAACAAAAAACACAAACTTGAGGAACCTAATCTAAGCATGGGTAGTTTTTAGTTTGCACTGCTCCGATTGATAAGAAGGCCTTTGAGGACTTACGCTCTGTCTCTGTCGTCGTCCTTATTCCTATCTCGAACATAGTCGTCTTCATCTTCTTGATTAGCCTCTTGCTGTTGTTTCTCATCTTGCTCTTCGTCGTCATCACGTGTGCCATCTGCATCTTCTTCGATATCTTCGCCAAATATATTTACAATCAGTTTTCCGAGCTAAACAGAGAAACTGATCAAGAACAGAGTTCCAAAACGCCTCCTTGCAGGAGAAATTCTTGACAAAGTGAACAGGTCGACCCTTCCTCACCGCTAATAAGCAAGGAAGCAATTCTCCTAAACAGAGTTTTCTGCCCATTTAACACCAGTCATTAATTGACTATTTGGCGCTCCATGATATGAGAACCATTCCTTTGGCACATGAGTTCATAGCTTCACTCGGAGACGGGCGCACACAGTTCAAGAGGGAAAAGAATGGGAACGCATTTCTCACGTTGGAGTTCCACGTCATTTCCTCCCAGTTACGCTACGAATTCGAAATCAAACTACCTGGTGTTTTTGTCACTAGTGGGAGGGACAATTGTCTCCATTGATCATTCTAAGCACAAATACTATGAATTTACTGGCATGCCGCGGCGCGAAGGCAGCTGAAAGAAACGAGGCAAACGAGATTATGGTGAGCCTTAGAGGGAAATTGGAAAAAAAGACAACAGAAAAACATATGATTTGGAACAACACTTTTGTTACAATGTTACAAGAGAGGTAACCCTTTCAGTTGTAAGGACTTCTTCTGTGATACAAACCGCTAACTTGGTGTGCTTTTTGAGAACTGCCATATAAACACCACTGAGCACACTCGCGGTCATTTCGGTTTACGGACTACTTGATTTTTCCTCAATGGATCCTGCCGCGATGGCTAGAGCACAGACGATTAGAGAATGCCCTAGGACTAAGCCTTGGAGAGGAGAGGGACCCGCTAGAGAGCGCAGAGGCGGTAAAGGGCTGAGTTCAAGTAGTCCGTCAACCGGACATTTCATATGGCTGAGATACAGTTGGGCGGGCAAGACAGGGAGTGAAGGAGTGGAGAGCGTGATGGAGTGGTTCTAACATCACTGAGGCATCATTCTAATGTGAGTGCTGATGATTCGATGAGACCCTTAACACAGAGGGCAAGCACTTTTTCGAATATACTCCTCGACGGGGTGTGAACTCTGAAGCCGGAAGGTAGTGAAGGCAGGCGCGGAGAAGTGGAAGGTTGGCACTACCCAGGGCGAAACCGGTTTTTAAAACTGAGCTGTAGTCTTTCAGCGTCAAAGGAAACTATCACGAAACTCTCACTTTCTTCTTCCGCTGTTCTTTCGTCCATTTCATCGTCGTCAGAATCATCGGATCCAGAAGATTTTTCCTGAAGATAACGAATAACAGTCTCAGCACAACGCGTGAGATGCGCATCGGCATTCTCTTACTGGACTTAGAAACCTCGCTGCTCCCTTTATCAGAATCATAACACGTCTATGCTCGTGTCTGACTCATTATGTCACTTAATTGGATTCATCTACTCGAAACAAATATGAACAAAAAAGGGGAAAAATGAAAACGAAGTAAAGGAAACACGAGCCTTCATCACTCGATGCAGCGCCCTTTCGTTGTTCGGGGGTGTTTTCTTCATCATCTGATTTGGCGTCCACTTCTTTCGAGCTGGAAATTGAAAGCGAAGTCGGACATTTAAAGGAAGCTACTAACACTTTTAAGACACAAGTGATAACCAAAGTGATACCTCTTCTCCTCCTCTCCATCTTCGCGCTGCCGCGGAGATCTTGATCGAGAGCCTCCGTCATTCTGGGGCGATGACGGCGGTGGCGAAGACAAGGGTCCTTCCTCTTGTACAGGTGAACTAGGCGACTTTGGCACGTAAGCCTCGTTCGTGTCACCATTTTCGCTGGTGGGATCCGCTTCAGGAGAGCCAGGAATATTAGGGCTATCGGCGTTGAACTCATCTCCAGAGCTAAAATTTGAGCATACGGTCCTAGTACTTTTTAGCATCATTACAAGTTGAATCAACAAAAAGAAAATGAAAGAAGCTCAAGACAGCAAACAGGTTGAATAAAACTTACTCATCGTCCTGCTCTCTGTAAGCCGGTGATGAAGCTGCGGATGCGGACGCATGAGAGGGCGATGCGACGGCGCTGTCATCTCTTGGAGACGAAACTCCCTGGTAGTCCAAGTCCCGAGGAGATCCTTCACCAGCGGACCCTTTCGGCGATGAAACTTCTGGATAATCTGGTGACGCTCCTACGAATGGTGATACAGAGCCAGCAGGAGACGCCTGACCGTTCACCGATGAAGCATCGTCGTCCATGATCTAAAAGCGTGCAACGTTGGGAAATTATAGGAATCTCAGGCACAACTTTCGTGGATTCAAAAAACGAATGTTTTATGTGCATAATCAGGAAGCGCAAAAGTGAATCGAATTAACATTAATATGGCCGATGTAAGACTTTGCTAATCCAACCAATCGCTAGCGAATCCATGGATTCGCCGCGGTTCGAACGATGCCCCAGTGGGCCTATGATTAGTTGCTGATGCACTGGCGCATCGCTAGTACCCCTCGATTGCTAGCGAAACGCCCAGTAGCCAGCTAGTCGTCGAATTCGCGAAGTCTGTCACCGGCCTACTTGTAAGGCCGATGCCATAGTTTGCGAATCGAGTGTCGCTAGCGAATCGCTGATCCGAGCGCTGCGCCAGCGAATTGAACGTTGCTCCAACGAATCGAACTTTGTAC